CCCCCCCCTTGGTAGCCACCACCCGCGCCTCCGCGGCCACTCCCACGCCCGGCAGACCCGCCGTCGCTGGCATCGGAACCATAGATAGTCCCCGCCGTTGCGTGGTTATTTGGCGCGGCCGTGTCCGGAGGCCCGAGCATTCTGGTAGTCACTACCAGAGTCCGAGCCCGACCGGCTGTTGCCACGGTAGTTGCTAGGGCCGCCTCCACGGCCCTGTCCATGGTGCCCGTTGCCACGGCGACCACCCTGTCCACCCCGGCTGCCACCCCCACCGCGGTGGAATGTCTCACCGCCGTGTCCGCCCGACGGCTCCGCTTTCTGCCCGACCGGGAACTCTGCACGGTGCTCAAAGCCTGATCGTAGGTAAGCTCTGGCATTGCGGCCATGACCTGACTGGCCGCCTTTGCCAGCTCGATATCTTCCTCGAGAGAGAGCCCGCACTCGCGCCAGACTCGGCGTCGCCCAAGCCGGAGGAGCGGTCCCGAGCCTCGCTCCGCTCGGTCTCCTTGTTTTCCCGGATCTGCGAAGGAAAGCGCAGCGGACTCACCTCGCCGGCTTCCTTGAGGAGAGCTGCATCCTCGTGCGCCTGGCGCTCCCGAGCTGCCTTCTGCTTGAGAACTTCAGCCGCTGTGGCTGGAAGACCCTCGTCGAGCGCAGCAAGCGACCGTCAGCCTCCAGGATCGCTTCCGCCTTCAGCACCGCCTCCGTGTGCAGGTCCCTGTATTGCAGCTTCCGGGCCGAAGCCTCCGCCACCTTGGCGTTCCACGCGTCCACAGCCTCACGGGCCTCGCGCACCTTGGGCTCACGCTTGCCGCGGGCTTCCGTTACCCCGTCCGCCAGGGCGTGGTGCTGTGCCTTGAGCATCGAGAGCTTAGCCATCATGTCCCCGTTCTTGGTTTCGATGGCGACGCGGGTGCGCGAGAGGGAGCACAGCTCCTCCTGCACTCCTACACATCCTCACAGACGACCATTTGCAGGCGCACCTGCTCGTTCATGTCGCGGAACTGGCGAGCGGCGTCGTGCTTGGCACGGGCCGACCCCGCCTCGCAGCGTTCGGCGTACGCCACTGCCCTCCGGGCGTTGGCCTGGAATTGCTTCAATTCGTCAACCATCCGCAGCGTAGCCTTCTGAGCGGTGGCCATGCCGCTGATCTGCTGCTTATTATACTTCACGTCCGTCGGCGGCGACGTCAGCGGCACCCCGGCCCGCACCGGCGAGGAAGTCGTCCCCGGGTCGAGAGGGAACGCATTCCCGGGAACCTTGCGCCCCGTCCTCGCGCAGTGACCGACGCACGACGTTTTGCAACGGCCGCCCTATTCGCTTCCTCGAGGTCTGCCTGAAGCCTCGCGACCCGCTCGTCCTCCTCCGAGGGACTTGCGTCACCAGCGTCCCGGCCTTCGGCCACCTGGCGAACCCCCGACGACGACAAGGGCGCATAGCAATTGCGAATGGCAACAACGGAAGCGCGCGCAATGGACTTCCCACGAGACACCGGGTTGTTGGTACGCGCAAGGGGCATCCCTGAGGTACTGTCCCGCGAAGGAGAAGGCGAGCGCAGCGACATGAAAGCCCGTCGGTGCGCCTCCGACGCCTTGTCCGCGGCCTCCAGGGATGTGGCCAACGCTACCGACGTGGCCCAGTCCGGATCAGAATCTACCTCGGGGTCGCTCATGGAACGAGCTAAACGGAGCGTCGCTTGCAAGTAAGTCCGGGTCGCGCACACGAGGCGACCCCGGGTGGGCACGGCGCTCGCCAAGTAGTTCGGACAGTAGCAACTGACGAGCCGCTACTGATAATCCCGCGACAACGTGCCTCAGTCACCAGCGACCTCCTGCAAATGCGAAGTCATCTGCCGACGGCGACGACGCCGCAGGCGGCGAGACCGCAACATCCGACGCCCCGTCGGCCTCGGAGCCGTCCTCGGCACCTGCTCGACTTGGAGGAGGAGTGCGTCCACCTGCCGGGACCACCTGCTCTCCCGTCGAGGACAGCTCGCCGTCCTCTCTGCTTCTTCCCGGGGAAGCCATATCCCTGAAGGATTCAACCGACCGCGATCTTTATTTAGCCTGACAAGGCACGCGCAGGTCCTCGACGGCACGTCCACAACCCGCACGGCGAACTGGCGCGCTGATAGTGTACCCTCGGCACGTCGCACGGAACGACAACGGCGGACGTCCGTGGGTTGACAGCAGTCGGCGGTCGCAACCGAGGTGGACTCTCGACTCGCAAGCAAGCGTACTAAGCTTGAAGCCGACGTCGCCACTGTGAGGGAAACTGGTTCCGCCTCTTTCTTTCTATCAGGTTCTCGCTTGTAGTTGTAAGTGCGTACACTTGCGTTCAAGCGTCTGTTGTGTTCGGTTGCTTGTGGGTTGACGTGTCGTATTGACTCTCGACAATCCTGCAATCAGCTCTAGACGTTCGGAACTGAAGACAGAGCTTTGAGAGTGATCTTGTGAGCAAAGCTTCTTCTGGACGGTCCTATCTCAACAATATCCGTCCGCAATACAAAAGCACACGTCATCGATGATGTTGAGCCAATGACATGACACTGCAGCACTGCAGTTGTTGACTGTACCTTCCTGTACATTCCACTTGCGAACTACCCTTGATCGTCGTTGTACCACGTGCTTGTTGGTCCAGTTGTCTATACACGCAGATCTATCTGACAGTTACTCTGTAGATTCAACGATAACGCCTCGAGAACTACTGTACGCATGTACATTCTCTCACCACAACCATAATCTCGCCGCACCTCGGAGGACAGCAAGCAGCAAGCAAGCAGCAAGCAGGAACAGCGATTTGCGCTGCGAAATGAGGGTTTTCGGCAGTAGATCGAGACATTGCCAGAGGCTCCACCCCGCCAGGACCATTGCGTGGGTGGTTATCCTCTCGATATTCGCTGGAGGTCGCGCGTTTACGGGAATCGGCCAGCCGATGTCGAACCTCAACCATCGCGTCAGCAAGAACAGGTTGGCCAGCCCAGGAGGATCACAACTGTCGACACTCAACAGGCGGCCCACACCGCAGATGACCGCGGGTAGCAGTGGCGAGGAGGAAGTGGGGTTTGTGGAGAAAGTCACGACAGCTTGGGGCACAGTTATTGAACAGGTGAATTTATCTCGCGACAATGCCGTGTCAGAAACATGATCCTGATAACGCCATCACAACGCAACGAACAACTGCTGTCGTGCATGTCACGCGTTTATTGGTGCTTCGACTACTACTGTTGTACTGCTGTACTGCTGTAATCTCTCCAGCTCCAAGATCGAGCCAACGGTATCCAAATGGGGAATGTTGCTGTCCTCAACAGGATGTGTAGGTTGCCCTCCTGTTGATGTTGATGTCGTCAGCATTTCGGACGTCACGAAGACATGGTACACCAGGACTTTTTGCAATCTACCGAGAGCAGTCGAGTAACACGGTGCCGTGTACGCCACCGGCAAGTATCCACACCAGGTTGAGCGCGATGAGTGCGTTGCCATCCCTTCCAAGGTAGTGTGGCGATGTAGCGGTCAAAATATGGTGAGGTCGCGACTACAGCGACGACCGTGGTTCACTAGTTAATTTCCCCAAGGGGTTCCATCTGTGGGCGCCCAGGGGCGCAGTTGGCGCGCCGTGGGAGGTCGATCAGCGGTCGGGAAGAGTACAGCATTTACTTTTCGCAAATATCTACTGTGGCTCGATCACGAGCATCAGAGCGCTTGACGTGCACCTGGCGGACTATTTGCTTACAAACAACTGCACAAACACTGCAACTTGATGGAATACCCTCTACCGTTGCCTACGCCGTTTCCCCAGGGCGATCCTGACGATCTCCCCCCCTGCCCATCTGGAGTGAGCGATCTGGCCAAGCCCATCCAGGTTCGACTGCTCCCGTTGCTTAGCGCGGTTGGGGTGGGATGAGGGGCGGGGGGTGCCGCGCTGACCCGGGCAAGCCCCCCTCAAGCGTTTCCCAACAATGCCCCGTTCGCGTCCTCTCCTCTCCCTTGCCAAGGGATTAGCTCAGGGGGGAATGTCTAGATGGCTTTCATGTGTGCCTGGAACGACGATATTCCTCGCATGTTGTCGTTTAATTCTTGCAGGGAAATTTGTACAGGGGGGGTTTACAACATGGTTTTGCATCTATGCCCCTAAAGCCCTAGGTTCTAGTCGTGACTACATAGTAATTTTACACACTGCGAAGCCCCCGTCTCTCCGTCAAGCTCAAACCTGTAAACTCATTTTTGGCGAGGTCATCGTGCTCCACATCTCCATATGGCCGACCTCCATCGCTGCAACAACCTCAGCAACGCCGCCACTCCTCATGCCCCCCCCCCTTGCAACAGGCGCTGATAGTTGCGGGAGTGTTCGCAGGCCTTGGCGCCGGCACGGTCGCCGTGCTCGCGGGTCTTCATTCCTTGGAGGCGGCGCTTCCGGCGGGGTGGTACTCCATCTGGCAGTTCACCTGGGCGCCCCTCCTCGGCCTAATCTTCTCGGCCGCAGGCATCGCCCACTTCACCCTCCTCCGGGAGTTCTGCAACATCTACCCGGGACGCGGCGCGTGGGGGTTCTGGTACCTCCCGGGAACCTCCAGCTTTCACGTCAAGTGGACCGGCATCGCGGAGCTGGCCGGTGGCGTTGGGCTAGCCCTTGGCGGGCTCGGGGTGGGCGCCGAGCTGGGCCTGGAGCGCGCGGCGGCGGCGGGGCTGTTCGCGCTGGTGCTGGCGGTAACCCCGGCCAACATCTACATGTTTTCACACGGGGCGCAGCTTCCGGAGGGGCTGGAACTCCCGGTTTTCGGTCACGCGGTACGGGGTTTCTTTCAGTGCGTCCTGTTGGCTTTCTTTTGGACCCTCGCCAGTTCGTGAAGAGGGATGGGGATAGGGGTGCTTTATTCCCCGTGCGGTGGAGAAGGTAAAGTGCACGAGTGCTCGCTCTTGAGGGTGAAACGGTTTCCCCTTGGACAGAGCGGCTACCGTCCGGTTGTCGCTCGAGAAGGGACGTCTTGGCGAGAGCGAAGAGTGCATCATCATTTCAGAGTCTGGACTATGAGGATTGGGTAGTTCCCGACAGTGGTCGATCTAGTTTCGGTGTTGAAAATCAAAAGAAGTAGTGTATGATTGCAGGCCACAGGACACGAGTACACGCGTGTACAGCGGGGTCCGCTTGGCGCGAGAGATTGTTGCGCAGAAGTTCTGGCATGCTTGTGCATGCCACGCTCCTGATTCTGCGGTATGGGGCACGTGAGACGATCGTGGAGACTGCGACCATCCTCCTTGACTTTTTTCGACATCGTTCGCATTGCCTTACGCATTTGCGCGGACGATGTATAAATGAAGGCAAAGGCGTGGTGGTGTGCCCATGGCACAACTTGCCTTAGTCTCCGGTCAAATTTCTCAAGCTCTCACAGCCGTCGCTTCGAAGACGAGCTTCTGCTGAAAGCCACTTCCTGCCGGGTATGCCTCCTCGACCAGTTGCGAGCCCAGCTTCGATCAACTTCATACAAGGCAATCAATTCAAACCAGCGATGTCGACTCTCAAGGGTCAGGACAAAGTTTGTTATCTCTTGGTAGTTGTGTATCGTAGCCGTATTTCTTAAATAGTCAGCTGCAAAGCAATGCCGCGAGTTGCATGTGCCTATCAAAACCGTCCCGGGCGTTTTCTGCTGTACAACACGCCGCAGAGAGGTCAGTGAAACCAAGAGATGCGCAGTCGCATGTGGTCGTACCATTCCAGAAAAAAAAAAGTTAAATAACTTCCGCCCTCTCCGCGTCTCACACCCCAACCGTCACACACCACACACATCCCTGCAATTTACAAAAATCCGTCCAAGAAGCAAGCCCCGAGAGAGAGAGTGAGACTCTCCGTCGCTCTTGGAATGCACGAGAATCACTGACTCATTTTTCGGAACTTGTCCCCCCGGCCACACCAACAGAGTAAAATACCAACCTGCGCAAGAGGACCCCACCACAACACTAACAAACACCTCCCCCTAGACAAGGAAAATGTGATGTATACAGCGGCGTGGCCTTGCTCGTTGGGCCGCTACATCCAGGACGATGAAGCCTGGCCGGAGAATCTCCAAACGCTTACATCAAGCGGGTTGTCCTGTGGAGGGTTACACTTTCCCAACACGATGGGAGAGAGTCAACCGATCGCCAGTACGGAACTCTCGAGGCATCAGTCTCCTAGTTGGCTGAGAGCACTTTTAGCCACCAGCACCTTGAGACGTTCGGCTAATGCGTCTCTTGCCATCCGCAGCCTTTCTCCGGTCGACATGAGCATCAGTGACTGCACTCAGCAGCGCCAGCATGCGACAATCAACACGGCAGTCGGAGAGGCGGCAAGTTAGACATGCACCAATGATCCTCACCGAGAAGGAATAGGATTTACTGTACAAACAACACCGACCACGAGCAATGCTACGGTAGGGGGGACTCTTTTTTAAGACATGGGTCGCATGCTGTCGCCGGACAAGGTCCATACAAATGCTCGTAACTCTCTCAATTTTTGCATTTCAAGGAAATCAATTCTGCCCAGGCAGCCGCCTGGCGTATATTTCGCGGTGTGCAAAACAATAAGCATTTTTTCCATTGGTTGAGGCAGTACATACCAGTCCGCCAAAACACTCCATGTGACCGACGGGGTACCCCCTATCGTTGCATCCCTCCCACATCGATGTGCACGAGACGCAAATTCAGGCTGCCATCACAAAAACCGCAATACTGTACGTCCAGAATGCTTCTTGTTCGGATCGAAAACACTTGACCGATCATTGCTGATACAAAATTGACCCCAGACGGCGAACAGAAACTAGAACGCCAATCTGCAACGAACAACAGCTACATAGGCACACCGCGGAATGAATGTCGCGGGGCGAGACACACCGACAGGAGGGGGTCAAGGAGAAGCGCGGCCTGGTACAGCTGCCGCCAACCACTCAACGATCGGGCATAGAATTCCGATCCCCTGGAGGCGTGGTGGGGACCGTCATGGCGCACGGAAGGAGGCGTGCTTGCGGGGTCTTCATCGGGACCAAGCAGTCAAGCCAATTCACCACCGGAAGAAATAAAAAAACATGACGGGTCCCCAAACAAAAAAAAAAGACAGAGCAACCAAGGCGGACCCTCTCACCTGCAGGCGGGCACTCGGATCAAAGCACCCGAGGGACGCGAACGACACGAGCTGCTCCCGCTCCTCCTGCGGCGAGGTACACCCCCACAGGTACTGCCCCTCCCCGTCCCCCTCGTCAGAGGAGGGCATCTCCCCGCCTGACGACCCAGCGGCCGCTGCCGCTGCTGCGACCACGTCGGCGATGGTTTTGGGGCCGCTAGCGGCTCCCCACGGTCGGTCCCCGCCCGTCTTCTTGGCGGTGGCGCCGAAAGCGGCCGCGTCTGCCCCGCCTCTGTTCTCCTCCAGGCTCACGGTAAGGTGCGCCTTCAGACAATCGTACCTGGTAAGCGCGCGTTGGAAGGAGATCGCACGAGCATCAACCAAGAAATGGAAGGGAGTCGTGCCTGTGCTTAGGGGTTGTTTGGGCGTTGAAGGAGATCGCAAGAAAATCAACCAAAAGATCGAAGGGAGTCACGCCTGTGGTTAGGGATTGCTGCGTGTTGAAGGAGATTGCACGAGCATCGACCAAGAGAGATGGGGTTAGAGAAGACCAAGACGCTTTCTCGCCTGACATGTACGCTGCGACCGTCTGTTCATGCCCTACTTAGTCAGGTGAAGAGAAAGGGGTCGCCAATGAAAGAGTGCTTCACCCAAGGCTGTCTACTTTACGGGAGCGCCGTATCTTGCAGTCACCTGTGCTACTGGCGTACGTTGAGGAACGTTGTGCAAATCGGTCCTTGTAGAAAAAAAATGGCCGCTGTTCATTCGTTTCCATTTTTAAATGATCTTCCCGCAGCCCGGGAAGCGGCGGGCGAGACGTTCAAGATCCTCCGTGTAGACGCGCTAGAAATAACAGAGGATCTACTGTAGGTCCGTGTGTAAGTATGATTGCAAGCTGAGAAACATTCCTCAAGCTCTTTTCAGTCCCTACCGATCTAGACATGTTCGGGGCTCCAACAAACCTGGAACGGATGGGAAGAAAACCTCCTTGAAAACAAGATAGCATCTACGACCAACAACTACATTTTTCTACTTCACATTTAGCATGCTCTGAAGAGGGTACCATGGGGGGGAGGAGGGGGGGGGGGGGGG